AGGGTAGGGTAGGGTAGCTAGCTAGCTAGCTAGCTAGCTAGCTAGCTAGCTAGGTAGGTGGGTAGGTAGGTAGGTAGGTAGGTAGGTAGGTAGGTAGATAGATAGGTAGGTAGATAGGTAAGTAGATAGGTAGGTAGGTAAGTAGGTAGGTAGATAGATAGATAGATAGATAGGTAGATAGGTAGATAGGTAGATAGGCAGATAAGTAGATAGGTAGATAGGTAGATAGAAAGATAGATACATAGATTAATCGACAGGTACAGGGACACGTAGACGTAGACACGGAAAGGCGCGTAGATACATAGACGCATACATAGATACATAAGTGCATAGGTGCATCGGTACACAGATACACAGATACATAGATACATAGGTACATACATACACACACACACACATAGCTACGTACATATGTGCATACATCATGTGTGCATGCATGCTCTGCAGATGGATAGGAAGATGAAGAGCCAGAATGACACTCACAAAAGTCTGTGAGCTGATACATTGATACAGATGGGGCTTCCTTTCTCGTGATGGACTGATGAAAGGCCCGGCATGGTTTGTCTGTTCCGCCTCGAGCTTGAGGTGCTTGAGTCCACCCGGACAGGAGAACCTGGGTGCGCCAGCGTGCTTGAATTGAAGTTCAGGGCGGACGGTGGTCGAAAGCATCCAAGAGACTGGATCATCGCGCGTCGAGCGTACCAAAGCACCCGGAAGTCTCTCAACATGGCCTCCATCACCAGCATTCACCAACCATAAGTGCGGTGCTTTCCACAATCAGCTTTCAGTATGAGTTTGGTGGTTTGGCCCAGGTCGCAACACAGCTGCCCGCACCATGCAGGGTCGCCGGAATTACTGCTCTTGGCTGTCGGTATAACTTATTGCTGTTGCTGCTATCATTCATGGTGCTCCGAGTTGGGCTCAGTGAAGTCGGGAAGAGCACAAAGTTCCAGAGCTCAAGCCGTGTGGGGCTCTTGTGGGAACCCAGGTTCTTACGGGTCTCTCTTTTGTTGGGCATAAAACGAGCGGGGGTCTCGCAGATTTTGAGAGATTCGGGTCCCATCCGATCGGGTTGACTGCTGCCTCATGGGGGTCTGTCTCTTGTGGTCCGGAATCGAAGAGAGAAGAGCTTTTCAGGGGAAGCCCTTCTTTGGTTTGTTTGGGGTTATGGACTTCAGCGCTGAAGAGCTTGAGGACAGAAGGGTTAATGGTTTCAGGTTATGGGGCTCTGCCTGCACCAGCTCGTTTGGCTGCGTGGAGTGAGTGATGAGCAAGCTGCCTAAGCACATTTCTTCGCTCTTCTTTGCGGAGGTCTAAGCTACAAGGCTTAACGGCTCGAGCGTAAGATGTATGCAACAATACAGAATGTAAGAATATGGAGGGAAGACAGGTGCAGATCCCTGCGAGTTTACGGCTTGCGGCATTGCGACCGTTCGCAGCTGCTGCCAACCTAACCGAGATGTGTGATGACAAAGAACCCACCTAGAATTATGCTATAGAAACGAAGGGTTGGACATGCGTCCTCTTGACTCAATCTCGTGATATGAACCAGTGATCTGGCCAAGAAGCCCAGTTGATGTCCTGGCGTAGCGGAAACAGCAAGGAGGCTGATAGCACAAAGTCGTTTTCGCGAGAACAGAAGAATTTGAGGGGCGAGGGTTCTCGGTACAGGTGTCTCGTTGGCCAGGAGGCTCAGCTCGAGAGCAAGGATATCGAACAGAGGTCATTTGAGGGCTTCGGAAAGTCCAAAACCTGTCTCACATCTTCCCCCTGTGAGATCCTCTTAAGCCCCGTAAGCAAAACGAAAAAACATTCCTACAAAAGCAGCGTCAGGGTCCTATTGCGTTTGCAATCAGCACGATTGTAAGGCCACCCCCGATGACCATACCGCATTCCAGAAGCTTCGCAACCTCAGCGGTTTTGGGCTTCAAGGTTCAGGGCTTGACATTTGGATTTCAAGTCTTGTGTCTGAAGTTTTAGGATTGGGCAGCTTTGGGGTTTAGTCTTCAAACTTTCAGGAATGTAGCCACATGTATTGCTTCATGTGTGGTAAACCAATTCTCAGGTGTGGGCATCATTGGTTTCAGTCATGACCTCCCGCCGCTCACTGCGAGACTTTCATGCCGTCCCACACGCCTGTTTCGAGTTTGAGGGGCTCGGAGCTCGCCAAGTTCCAATCCTAGTCCTGAAACCTGGCATGATCATCTACCGACAATATTTTCGCGCGTTCGGAAGGCTTGGGCACAAAGTGCCGCTGCAGCTCATCTAAGGCAGCAGCATGTGTTTATAACTATATATATATATGTGTATATTTTTTTGTGTATGTATTTATTTTTATTTATGTATTTTGAGTGAGAGAGAAAGATAGAGATAGAGACAGGGATAGGGATAGGGACAGAGATAGAGAGCGAGATAGAGATATACAGAGCGACAGAGATAGAGATAGCGATAGAGATAGCCATAGAGATAGAGATAGGGATGGAGATGGAGATGGAAATGGAGAGACAGAGATAGAGACAGAGACAGAGAGAGCTTGAGACAGACCGCAAGAACGAGAGAGAGGGAGAGGGAGGGAGAGAGAGAGAGAGAACGAGAGCTACCAACTATGAGTACGTACTGCTTGCTTCTTACTTCGTACTTCGTACATGTTGATCATTGCTTCTTGCTTCTCGTTTCTTGCTTGTCGTCTCTCCACTCTGGACTCTGTGTTCTTGGTTCTTACCTCCACTACCACAACAACAAAGACGACGACAACGACAATAACAGAAACAACAACAACCAACCCCACTACGACGACGACTACATACTGCTACGACGTCGGCTACTACTGCTTCTACCACTGCACTACTATCAGCAGCAGCATCGCGACCATCGGCAGTGAGCGTCATTCAACAGCAATGAAATCTCCGACCGAGATGCCGCAGAGCCCTCCGCCCAGCTGTAGCACACATACAGGCAAGCCTCGGGAAGCGCCCGATCTCGACAGTGCCAAGACTTTGAATCATTGGGGCTTTGGATCACGGGTTTTGCGACTTGCGATTACGGTTCTCAGGTCCAAAATGCACTGCATTTTCACAGCTCTGGACGGCGCTGGATTGTCTTCCAAAAATTCAAGACAAGGCGCAAGAGCGGGATATTACCAACTTGATTAACGCATGAAAAGTCAGGGCACCGTCATGTAATCTTTGGCAAAGAGAGTGCGCCGATTCCAGGGCCAGCCGTCGGCGCCAAGGTAAGCCGGTGCAAATTCTGGGCATTCAGCTGATTCCCAGAGCTTCGAGACGAAAACATCTATACACATACATACACACACATGCGATGTGTTTTATCATGTTCCATAGACATCCCTGTGTACATATGTATGTGCGTAAATATTTACATGTGCATGTCTATCTATTCATGCGTGTATGTACATATGCACACTCCATATACATATATGTACAAGATACATGTTTATATATAGATATACACCCACATGCACACACACACACACACTTACATTCGCACACAGGTATACTTCTGTTAAGGATCCTGTCCTGTCCTGCTTCATACCACATGCTGTTTCCTGTTTACCATGGTGTTCTGTTAGACAGGTTTCCCTTTGGACAGGGCGCTCTGTTAGACAGAACTTTCTGGCTCGAGTCTCCTTATAACTGGCTTGGCTTGAATTGGTTCGGCTTGGCGGCTTGATTTTGGTTGGCTGCCCGAGAGGTTGGTTGCCTGAGAGCCTGTAAACCTTAGCATCCTTGAAGAGACCATGGTGCGTGTAAACATTTCTACGTATATACACACATCTCTATTGGGCTGCCCTTTGCAGGTGCTTTGTCAGGGGATTGGGTTGCAAGTTTTGCGGCTATCTAAGAACATCTCGTTGAAGGTGACTTTTCAGTGACAAGAGCCTAGTTCAAAACAACCACATGCGAAAGAACAAGAGATGAACCAATCTACACGGTGGCTTGCGGCGTTTGGCATAGAGCTTCAGAGTTGGGCTTACCCGGCTTACCCGTGATGCAAAGAACGTATTCAGGACCGCTGCAACTAATCCTGCTTTAGAACAACCTCCGCCGGAACATACGGGAGATGCATCACCCTGTCTGACACAGCGGAATATGTCCAAAGTTGTTTGGGGGGCTCCAGAGTGTCACAGTGTCGGAGGGACACATAGCTTCACAGGCAACACAAAGTTCAAGTTCGTAAACCCCTAAGCCCAACAACCGAAGCTTGAACTATAAGCTTTGACTTGAACTCAAAGCCTAAACGATTGACTTCAACGCCCGAAGAGTCAAAGCTAAACCCTCCGAAACCTGCAGGAGAGAACGCAGCCAGGCGGCCGAAACGTTCTGGGCGGCTGCTGTTCGTGCTGCTGACATTCAGCAGCGACTTTACGTTGAAATCCTTCGGGCAAGGAGACTTTAGAAAAAGTCTGGCCATGATTGACCATGACAGCAGCCTCGACATTACTATGATGTGGGGTGTTCTCGGTTTTTCTGGTGGCTGCCCGAAGCTGTAAGCGAAGTATCCCTGGCTGCAGCGCCCCCCGACCCAGAGAAACACACGCGTACCCGCCCTATTCCTGCTACGTTAGTTAAGTCTTCCTTTCCCTAGGTCGTCGATGCTGTCACTGCATGCTGCTGTTGTTTCGATTGCAGCGTCACGTCTACGAAACAGCTTCCCACTCAAGAATACCATTCGGAGATGAGCCTTCGGGAACTATTGGGAGACCCCTCCAAACACGATCAATAATGCATGAGCTAGGCCTTAGACTTCACCGCTTCAATCTGACTTCTGTTTAGCGTATTGCTGCCAAGACCTGCTGTCTTTGATCTGACTTGCGGAGCTTCGATAGCAGTTGTTTCCGCCCTCTTAGCCATTAGCCCGAATCAGAAATCCCAAGCAGCCCATGTAGGAAACGCTTGCGTGCCACCGAGGCGCGTCGGTGGGGAGGTTCAGTGCAAATGAGGCGACCGTCTCCTTGGCATAATAGCCTCAAAGCAGGCTTTTGGGAGGTGGGCGGAGGTGGGGGGGGGGCTGGGGGTTAGGCGCATGGGACTTGCAAAGGCGGCTGTACGTGCAAGATGTCCGCAGTGTTAATAGCGTTAAGCTAAACATTCGAGCTGAGCAACATGAAGACAACTGCGAAGGGGGTATCCTGCGCATGTGCTCACCTGTGGCGGATTTGAAGCCCTGCCCCCACAGGTTCGGAGTGTTTGAAAGGCCCTAAGTCCGAGACCCTGAAACAACCCCTGGCTGAATGCATCGTATCTGGAAATCAGCAAGTAGTTGTGGCACTGGACAACCGGACCTTGGCCCACACATTAATTAGAAAAGAGGGCCCGACAAAGCGAATGGACAGCAGCAGCAACAACGACAAAACTAGCAGCCACGACGACGACAACAACAGCAGCAGCAGCAGCAGCAACAGCAACAGCAACAACAACAACCATGACAGCCTCAAAAGCGCCAGTGGCTGAAACGAGGACGACGATGAAGACCAAAAAAGGAGCAGGAGGAGGAGGAGGAGGGAGATTAGGAGAAACAACAACAACCAAAAACCCACAACCCACAACAAACAAACAAACAAACAAACAAACAAACGACAAACTAGTACTAGTGATACTACTACGACAACCACTACTACTGCTACTACTGCTACTACTGCTACTACTGCTACTACTGCTACTACTGCTACTACTGCTACTGCTGCTACTACTACTACTACCACCACCACCACTACTACTACTCTGCTACTACTACTACTACTACTACTACTACTACTACTGCTACTACTACGACGACTCCGACTACTACTACTACTACTACTACTACTACTACTACTACGACTCCGACTACTACCACTACTACTACTACTACTACTACTACTTCTTCTTCTTCTGCTTCTACTTCTACTGCCAGTTCCATTTCCTCTGTTACTCCCATTGTTAGTACCACTACCACGACCACGACACGACTGCGACGGCGACTACGTCTACGTCTACGTCTACGACTACGACTACGACTACGACGACGACGACGACGACGACGACGACTACTACTACTACCTCTACTTCTACTTCTACTTCTGCTTCTGCTTCTGCTTCTGCTTCTGCTTCTGCTTCTGCTTCTACTTCTACTTCTACTTCTACTTCTACTTCTACTTCTACTTCTACTTCTACTTCTACTTCTACTTCTACTTCTACTTCTACTTCTACTTCTACTTCTGCTGCTACTTCTACTTCTACTTCTACTTCTAC